ATCTCAGTGAGCAATGAAGTGTTTGTTATGTTTAAATTTAGATTTCATGCAACAGTGTCATCATTTCTGGAAAAGCACAAGGTACTTAACATGTACAAAGTAATATAGAACTACGTGTTTTAAAATGCTCTCTGGTCAATTGAACAACTAACTTGATCTGTGAAAGAGATGGCAACTACTAAGTAAAGACCAACTAAAGGTCCAAGAAACAACTTTACAACTGTCCAGAGCTGTCAATAACTTCTGAGTCACCTGTAGCCTTGAGCTTCACACCCATAACAAACATGTTATTTTGTGGGTGAATTGTACCAACAAAAGGTAATTTCACCCTTGACATCAAAGGCATATCATGCATACTCACCCGTAACACTTGTAACGCTTAATGAGAGCCCTGCTGTCTATTTATATTAGGGTATGAAATATTAATGTCTTGATGCATGTGAAGTTAATATCAACTGAAATAACTTGAATGCACCATCACATTGAGTGAAATAGTTGAAACATCTTACAAAGAACTGTATTGAATAATTCAGAGCATTATTTTTGGGGGCTGTTGTACTGGATGATTTCCCATGTGAGGAGAAGAAAATACATCTTCAATGTAATAAATGATGAATAATTTTATACAATAATTATATTTTAATTTATATGTGCAGTAATTACAGTAGTTTAACTAAAGAAATTCTTGTGTGATGATTTGAAACGTTTTGTCTTCCTGTAATTACCTTTGTCACAGTAATGTTGTACATTTTGTAAAGTTGTTGTTTTTAATATTTTAAGCCAGAGGTCATTGAGCTTCACCTCCACCTAACACCATCCATGCTAGCCATCCAAACAGCTGTTCTTGATTTGATTGACACCTGTCTGAAAGAACTGAAGAGAGCTAACCCAACAGTGAGTTACAAGGAATTTATTATTATTATTAATTAATGAAATATTTAGTAACAACTAAGGTGTAGGACTTTTAAAGTGCGGCCAAACTTCTTATAAGCAGGGAGCTTCAGAAGTAGTGTCCACCCACTTACATGTAAATTTGGATGTGACTGCAACCATGTTGAAATGTTCACTTGAATAAGACATGTCCTCAGGCTTAGATGGGTGTCCATTATTGGGGTTTGACTGTTAGATCTGCGAGATGTAGTAGAACTGTCAAGGGTCACTCCTAGGCTGGGGTCATTGCGTTGTGTTCTTAGGAAAGATCATAANAACATTCCCAGAGCACCTGTTTTATAAATATAGGATTTTGAATGCATGCAGTATTGCCCAAAGACAGAATTCAGGTTGAAAATGATTCGTGTCAGTGTCAGATCACGAGATGTTTCTGATGCTAATTCATGCTAGGTGCTGAAATCTTCCCTGATAGCTGTAACAGTTACAAAACTTGTGCCAGAGCATTGTAATCAAAAAAATAAATAAACAAACCAATTAACATATAGACTAAATGACAGAGAATGAAACATGCAATATAAACAGCAGCCTATGTGCCATTATATTGTACCACTGATCAACAACAACAACAACAACAACAACAAGCTGGATCTATTTACAATGATAAGTAGTAAATCTGTAAATCTCAAAGATTATTGACGCAATGTGGGAGGCCCGGTGGCCTCATGGTTTGTGCGCTCACCTTCAGCTTGAGCGGTCTGGGTTCAAGTTCTGGCTGGGGACATTGTTTTGTTTTCTTGTGCAAGACACTTTATTCTCACAGGGCCTCTCTCCACCCAGGTGTATAAATGAATACCAGCAAATTTAACAATGGAGTGTAACCAGCATCCCATCCAGGGGGAAGTAGAAATACTTCTAGTCGCTTCTTGCTTCAGAAACCGGAGATAAACTCTGGCCTGATGGGCCACGTGGCTCATATGCAGACTTTTCCTTTGCCTTGACGTAATGTAGGAAATTTTAATACAAATGTACTAGTCATCTAAGATCCATTCTTTATTTGTAGAGAACAAGAGGTTTTGCACAAAGATTTCATGACATTAGAGAATTCTAACAAATCAATAGAGAACTTCATTTTCTTGCTCCTTGCTTTAATTTAATAGCATGCAAAGGCCAGAGTTGTGGAGTACACAGAGAGGAAAAACAAGAAAATGAAAGGGGAGTCATCAAACCAAAAAGATAACTTGAAACAGTGAGTACAAACATTGATTGCATTTAGTCGAGCTGTAGTTAGTCCTTTGTACAGCATGGCTTTTTAGCAGGTGGGGTGGTTGCAAATCAGTTTGTGTAGTTCTGAAAGAGAAGTAAGAAGTTAGGTAATATCACGGGCCAAAAATTATTCCCTAATTTTGGCGCAAAATTTCAGTGCTAATTTATAATTTCACTTGTGAAATTACAAAATTGTCATGGCAACGTTTGGCACAAAATTTCTTGATAAAAAAATAATAAACAAGTATAAAACCCACGATTTTAAGCGTCATTTGTCACCCATGATAGTAATTTAAAAGGTCATCAAATTTATGGAATTCTCGTGAAAGTAGGAGATATTTTTACT